CTCTCAAGGTGTTCCTTCATGAGGTTGGCATTACTGGAGGGCAGGGAATCTCCCTCACCCGGACCGCCTTGTCCTGTGGTGGGCATGGGCATCCCATGGGACTGATGAAAGACTGATGCAAAGTACCCATTTAATAGGTTGGCTTTTTCCTGGGTGTCAGTTGCCCCATCTGGTTCACTGAGTCTGCTGGAGTGTGGTAGTTACTGTGCTCCAGCAGACTCCAGCGTTTCGTGTATTACCGCCCCTGCACTGAAAAATGGCAGCAGGGGCACTTATAACTAAAGCTCATTTGATGACCTTTAGTTAAAGCGCTCCCATCACCATTTTTCAACACGGGGACACTGATACACTAGATCAACAGTTCTGAATCGGGGGTACAGTACCCCCAGGGGATATGTGAAGCCCCATCAGGGGGTATGTGAGATATATTTCATACATTGTCTAACTCAGGTCAAAGGGCGTAAAAAAATAATTTCCCATTGAAAGGGGGTACATGAAGTCTCACTCTGAGACCAAGGGGTACGTCGACTAAAAAGGTTCAGAACTGCTGTACTAGATACTTTTGGAGGCACTCTAATTAAAGTGCCCCTTCCGCCACTCCTGGAACACATGTATGAATGCCCTATATTAATAACAGGAATGATGAAATAGAGAGTACACTAAATAGTTGTGGGTGATGCCATATGGAGAGGGGTTGCAAGCAATTTGGAGAACAAGACCAGAATTTAAAAAGATCATAATTAATTGAAGAAATAATCTGAAATCAACAAGATGAAATGAAATAAGGATCAAGTACTACACCAGGAAAATATATAATGCACCAAGACAAAATAGGGAATGATTGTGAATTTAAAGCTGCTTTTGACTTCCAGAGCACTCCAAGATCTCTGTGTATTTAAAAACTGGCATGCTGCACAAGGAGTAGATTATGATAGGAAGTGAGGGTTCCTGAAATACACCTTTGCTGTCTGACGCTAGTTTTCCCCTACTCCCATGATCCAAGCACCCAACCCCTCTCTAGACTCCTACCACTTATTCCCAATTACCTTCTGTATAATCCCCTTTCCCTCTGGCCCAAGCCCCTCTCTCTATCCACCCCTTGCCTCTCTCATCCCTCATGGGTGGGGATGGAGGGGACCAGCCAGTCTCCCTGCTTCCCCATGTAAGGACTTATTGCGGGGGCTGCGGGAAGGTCTGTGCTACTTTGCGGGGTTTGAGTGCCTCTTACTAGGACTGTGCACGTGCCAGGACCTTGCCGCTCCCAGAATCCTTGATAATTTTAGATCTTGGAAAATGAGGAAACGCAGTGTGAAGGTACATGGAACCACTGTGTGTGCTGGGAAAGGCTGTCGACTTGGACATCCAGGGGCAGAGCTGGAGAGGACTGGCCAAGGCAGGGACAGGGAGCCCAGCTGGTTTGAGGGATTAGAGGTGTATTGCGCCTTGTTCCAGTATAGTTTGAAGAAGCCTGCAACCCTATTGCAAACTGTTCCTTGTGATATGTGCAGACTCCAGCAGAGGGCACCCCATAGCCAGAAGCAACTAGGCTAGGAAATGAACTTCCACAGAAACAATATATACAGAAGGGAGTTGTACATACACCATTAGAAGCATATTTCTCATAGAATAACCACTCCTTCTCTGACCTCACTATCCTGGTGCTCAAGAGAAATCTGCCTGATGCCTTTAAAAGATGCACTTGGGAACAAAAATTCATAAGACTAAGAACCAGAGACTAAACATTGATCTAGTAATCAGCTTCTCTTCTGCTACATGTGTGTCTGCTACCCTTGTGAATTTCTTTCATCCCCTTTCCTCTGCTGTTTCACTATGTGAAATCATGTGGCTTCTTGTTAGGATCAGACACCTGACAAAGAATGCCTTGCATTTAAAAGCTTGTCTAACTCTATTCAAACTACATTGTTGGTCCAATAAAACATCAACCCTAAGGGCTGGTGCCACTTGCAATGACCATTCCAGAAACCAAACCCTATGCACCTCATGCAGCTGCTGCCTCTGCAGCTGGTGACAAAAGTTGGTTCCTTGATACTGGGCTTGACAATGCCCTGCCCAGCTTGGAGGTGTACACAAAAGGTGTTCTCCAGCATCCAAGGACCCACTATCCTGCCAGTTGATGGGGACCTGCTACCCTGACTGCTTGATAGAGAGGTCGCCCTTGATCCTGGGTACTGGTGCCAGCTCCCATCCTGTATGCTAGAATAACCCCTCCTAAGATGTCCACAGTAACCAAGGGCCATGCTGTCATGGCCCCTTTCACCACACTGTGGCTAAAAACAGCTTCCTGTTCTTCTCTCCAACTCCCCTTTGTGGAATCAGAGGTCTGATGTGTTTTC